ATTATTGAGATTATCAAATAATTGTATAAATACCGTACAGCTTTCAATGGAAAAATTTCAAGGTTTTTCATATCGTTATAAGTTTACGAAAGGTCTGCTAATGACATAAAATTATGCAATTCTATTTATATCGGAAGAAAACTGAATGAGATTTAACAGCAGATACTGATGATATAAGTTCAAGAATTTGAGACAGGACATGTATGTACTAAGTATTTTTCTTCATTTATGATCATCAAAATATCAAATGACAAGAAAAACGTATTTGAATGCGGTCATGCCTTCGTGGTATAACTGTAGCACACTCGGTGCGTATTCGAAAGGTAAAGGTTAGAGTCCCGGTGAGAGCACTGCTCATTTTTCACGTCTCCTGCTTCAGATAAAAATCCTAATGACTCTAAAGTGGCGCCCGAACTGAAAGGTGGTGAATGATAATTAGTCAGTACCAGGATTTGGTGATGGGGTCCTCTGATCCCCAATCGCCATTTAAAAGGGGGTGTTTATAAGGTATTTCCTCCCTCCTTTCGGCATGCCTTCCTGGTGTAACGCAGCATAATTCAGAGGTCCTGGTTCGAGTCCCGGAGAAGGCATTACTCATTTTCCATGTCTCCTGCTTCAGCAAAAATTCCTAATGACCTTAAAATGTTAAAATATAAAAAATGAAAAAATCGAAATAAAATTTAAATAGAAATAGAAAATTTTAAAATTTGTAATTTCAGACAAAGTTATTTAAATCTTTCTACTTTTCTTTCAGAATTTAAAAGCTATAAAATAATATTCTGGAAGTTTTAAATGTCACGTCTTAGAATCAGTTTAGAGTATTCACCGAAACAAGTAGTAAGGCTTGTTCGAAATTCTACGAATGAGATAAGTACAAACCCGTACACAGGTTGTCGTAAATAATGGAAACACTAACATTTAAAAAAAATTTATTTTATTTAGCTAGAGGAGACAAAACCAAAAACGTTGTTTCTTTTTCATATAGAATTCTTTTTCATATAGTTCTATTTTTCATATATTTTCAAATTTGCATAAAACTGCAAATATCATCTGTGGTTATAAAACTTAGATCATATTGAAGACAAATATGTTACTTGACAGAGTTCCAAAGTGGTCAAATTGTTGGAGCCGACTTTAACATCAGTTGAAAATATTATTGGAAAGATCGAGGGGCACTGTATCTAAAGTTGTGATAACACACAATATTCACATCAAAATATCGCTGTGCTTGGAAATAAAAATTTAGTGACAGAGCTAAAAGGACATTAAAAAGAATTATAACGCAAAAAAAAATCCTGCTGTGGCAAATGGAACTTCTGAACTTAATATTCATTTAGATAATACTGTTTCTAAGTACACAGCATAAGGTTAGGTTACAAAGGATAATAATATTTATGGCAGAGCTTATATCTGAAAACTTCTTATTCCACAAATAAACGCAAAATACCGACTACACTGGTTCGAAGAGTACGGAACATTGAATTCTGTTAAATGGAATTGTTTTCTGTGAGTCTACGTTCATATTATTTCCAATCTTATGATGCGTTTACATTTGAAAAACACTGGCAATAGCTTACAATCTAAGCAGGTCAGCTTCCAAAGTTAAATCATAATTATATTTATATCACCTATCAAATAAGAATAAATAGCGGTAATTGTATAATCATTTTCAGCAATTATATCCATTCAACGACGTAGACACTTTAAATATGTATCTTTAAAATAATACTATCCCAATTCACTGACGTGAAATCTTTCAATTATAATTTGAAGAATATTAAAGTGAAGTTATATCCTCGTTAGCTTGCAAAATCACTAGACTCATACAGGACTTATTTAACTGAATCGTTGTTGTATATGCAGTACGACTCAAATTTTCACCACTAGCGTATCTCAATGAATTAAAGCAGCTTCTGATAGAAGAAGAGCATGAAATACATACTACCACCTTTCAGAACTTTTATGCCTCTACAAGCAATAATTATATGATTAAAAAATCTTCCTACACTACATTTTTCATCTTTAAGTGTTTTTATTATTTTAGATGACCCCTGCAGATTTTGTAAACATAAAAATTTCAAATTTTGAAGATTTGCTTTAAAATGAATGAATAAAGCAAGTCAAAATAATGTAATCATTTAATAAATGGTTAAACGTTAGTTTCTAACACATGTAATGCGAATCGTAGAAAAGTATTTTTAACTTTTCTGATGAGTGTAAATCGATCTTCGACATTTAAATGAATACACACACGTAAACGTCACACACAAAACATACGTAACGGTTGGAAGTTAGTGTAATGTTACACTTTCTGCGAGCAGAGCGTTTGAGAGTTACTTGAGGCACGCCTGTACAATTTAGTTAATTTTAATTAACAAACTGGGTTTTTAACTTGAATCTATTCTATCACTTCTGACTTAGTCAGACAGTTCATTCCCTTCAGATGGTTATGTTTTTTTTTTTTTTTTTTTTTTTTTTTTTTTTGAGACGAGCGTGGAAGTATAAGTAGGCTAGTTGGAAACGGGAGCATTGTCTGATGTTTGAGGTTGTCTGTTGCCTGCTGTCTGAAGAACATCAGTTCCAGTTGCTAGTAAATACTGCTATTTAATCCTGGCCGGTGTAGATGATTTCCAAGAAGTCTTCTCCAAAATAATAAGCTACGGTTAAAGGTTTAATACGTAAAAGAATAGGTGGATTCTGTGTTCGTTGCATTGGTCTTCTTAGAAAGAGAGTCATCTAAAACAGAGGTCGTCAACCCTTAAAATTTCACGGACCACAACATATATAATTTTATATTTGGCGGACCACTAATATGAATTTAAAAACAACCTTAAATCAGACCTTAAAAATAACATATTGATACGCAAAAACAATATTCAACTTTCCAATGCATGTAATTCTAATTTTCATTTGTTAATATAATTATCGAAACATTTGGTGTTCAGCAGCATGCCTTTATGGAAAATCAGGCTACGCCCCTAATTATGAGTAACAATTAAAACACTATTAACATCTCACTGATACACATATTCCGTTCACTCTGAAAAATTATATAAAAAGCACAAAAATCTTACCTTCTTGTACAGAAAGCTTCACTTTCCCATATTACTGAAAAGGAACTTCACGAAAAGCAAGAAAACACCGACAAACGGCAAAGCAATATCAATAAACTGAAAGTGTTATGCCGCCAAATTTTAATTATTGTAGACATAATAATCATCTCTTACTCAGCAATGGGCGCCATCGATCAACAGTTAGACAAAACAAAAACGGAAACTTTCAGTGATGAATGCAGATGGTTCTCATAAAAATCCATCAAGTTGCCTATTAACACGGAGAAAAACTGTGTTATTAACGACTACAACAGCATATATTTGTAATTCAAAAGGAAAGGGGATACCATTTCGCGCTATTATTGATAACAGCAGCATATTCATCAATGTCAACTCTCACTTTCAAATGTCGCTAGATGCACCTGCAAAAGTAGCTAAAATGTCGCTAAATTCAGAAGGAATTTCGCTAAAAGTTAAAGTTAAAATTTTAAAAAAAGTATAATCCATATTCCATAATAGGTTTTGTTACTCGTAATTTTTTAAACTGAATCTTCATAAAAATATAAATATTGTCCCAATTTTTCTGCGGACCATCATTTCTGCGGTTTCACGGACCACCGGTTAGCGACCGCAGATCTAAAGTATATATCCCTGTCTTTGTCGTTTTCCTGTCACAGTGTAATTCAGTAACAATGTTTCTTCAACAATACTGTAGTCTGGATTAAAGTTAAATACAATATTTCTCAATAACCCAATACCTATTTGACGCTTTGTCATGGATGTCAACTAGTCGAGCACCTGCTATTCGCTCTCTTTAGAAGTATATTAGCTTATATAGTTATGTCAAAGTCTTGTATAAATTAAATATAAAATTTATTTATAATTTTAAAAAATAACGAAGATTTAATAGGGATAAATTAATTACGGTTGCATATTTTATATTGGAATTGAACAAAATAAATGAGATTTTAATTTTCTAAATCATTAACAAAGCCCTGACTTCTAAGGTTTCGGACCATAGTTCAGAAGTTAAGCAACTATTGGCTAGTTTTGCATGTACGTTTAATAGAGGGGTTAATAGTAATATGAAAAATAAGTGGGAAGATTATTTTATTCAAAATCCCCCAAACATACGAAACTCAGATCATTATAAATACCTCCTAAAATGAAATAATTAGGTAAGATTCGGCAGGAAAACCTTCTCTAAATAAAATGAAAGTAAAATGACAACCCTGATATGGTATACACCTTAATTTCACGGAGATAAGAATTAAAACTATGTTATTTGTCACCGTCAACTTAAAATTGATGTCGTAGCATGTTGTGATACTCTACTGGAAGAGCGTTTATGCGTTTTCTTGTGGGAATTCTTTCCACAGCCCTTTGTACCATCGTGGGGTAGCATTCCATGACTGGCACACTCACCAGACATTCCAGTTTATAATTTCTTTTAGGGGCGTTGATAGTGGGAGTCTTCGAATATAATCCTCCCAACTCATGAATGAAAACTAAAAGTAAATTAGAGTAATATCCCAAGAAACGGTAAGAATAATTCTAAGAAACTTAACGTAGGTTTCACGAAGAAGTGAAGGCAAGCATTTGGATGTTTGCGTTAAGAATAAAAGGTATAGTTCGATCAAAGTGCGAATGTAGCGACTGTTTTGTGATGGATTCTAGTATAATGCAGGAATAATTAAAGTTACTATTGCTTTTACTTTCTGAAATAGAATATTTACATAATTAGCAAACATTATCAAATATATATCTGGTAAACTAATTTTCGATTAGCGAAATAAATTCATCTTAGGATGGCAGTTTTAAAAGCATTATTGCATCAAAATACATATCTAAAATTACCCAAAATTTCTAAATCCTTAAGCAAACCTACTACAGATTGGTCAAAAATAACTCAGCTATCAAAACCCTCTTAAGTTCGAAATTTCTTACTTTGGCCTTGACTCTTCGTTTTCCACACAGAAATCCTACACAACGTCTTTATGATCGTCATATTTTACTGCCTGTCATCCGCATCTAATATTGATTTGCTGCCAGTAACTGCATATCTCTGTCATTGCTATGTATAAAAATAATATGATCACCCTCCTTTATTCAAAAATATTTGAAACTGTTCATAAGATAAATTTATAACGTAGCATCTGTGTACTAAACTAATATATAGTTATACAAATAATATAATTAGCTAATGTCGTTACATTTCGTTTGAATTTTGAGCATTTAATTTCATATACAAAATTCCGATAACACAGAAGTTCTAAATGTATTATGCTAATTAATTTGATCCTTATACTTATTATCATTTTCATTTATAAACTAGCAGCTAAATGAAATTCAAATATTATAAACTAGCAGCTACGCTCCCAGCCTTCGTCTGGCTTTTAAATGTACCGGGAAATGCCTGAAGGGAATACCAAACGTTAAATTTAATTAAACCAAACGTTACCAAACGTTAAACGTTAAATTTTACTCTGCAGACTTTATAATAATTTTTAAAAAAACGCAAAAATTAAAACAAAGTATTACATATAACAACATTACAATGAAATACGCAATATCTCTTAATACAAATATTTGTTATTCTCATAAAATACACTCATGTTCATAAATTAAGGATAATGCAAAATCAGGCAAAGGAAGAGTTAGAAGCAAAACAAATTTGACTTATTTGTAAAGCTTATTTATTAAACAAAAGGTAAAGATCAAAAAACGATGCTATATGTTTGATATTATTAAACAAATTTGCGATTTTTTCTCACTGGAGCAAATTACAAAAAACACTATTTACAAAAAACCAATATGACATGGTTGGTATGATTGTTAATCATTGTATGTCTCCCGACGATGCAATACGTCCGTACAACGCCTAGGCATGCTGAGTATCAAATTATCGATCTGATCTTGGGGGATATACACCACTCAAAAGGCAATGCTCTCCGAAGTTCCGGTAGACATGAGGAGGAGGTTGACGAGTGCACTTCGTGGCCAAAGCATGTTCCGCGTGCTCTACTGATTCAAGTCCTGTGAGAATGTGGCCAGTCCATACGGGTGATTCCTCGGTGAAGGCATTCGCTTACGGTTTGCACGGTGAGGACGGGCGTTGTCATCCATAAACACAAATTGTGCGCCCATGGCGCCCCGAAACAAACGCACATACTGTTCCAGAATGACGTCCCGATAGATTTGGCTGTCATGGTTCCAATTCGAACATGCAGATCAGTCTGGAACCCAGCATAGTTTCCACCCCGAACAAGCACTCTGCACCACCGTAAAGGTGTTGTTCAATGATGTTTTCTTCGTGGAACGGGTACCTGGAGCTCTCCTATGAAAGTACGGCGAGAATTAGACTGCAAGCTAAACCTGGACTCGTCGAAAAACATCACCAAGCCCACTGTTGCGGTGTCTACAAGCATTGCTCTCTACTCCAGGCTAACTGCAGGCACAGTGAGTTGCAGTTTATAGTGGAACGCATCTGACAGGTCGAGCATATAGACCAATTTGCCCTAAGCGTTGTACACGGTCTGCCTTGAAATTGTCGTACCAGTGGCTGAAAGAGAGCTGACGAGACAGGTCTGAACCTGTGCTCCGTCGTTCTTTGGCAGTAACTGACAAATACCGGTCCTCATTCGGCGTTGTTGTAACTCTGCGGCAACCTGTGCTGTACGTTACTCACATTACCATAATTTGGAATCGTTGCAAAGTTGGAGAGACACCTGGGGCAATTCAAGTTATACTTCCAGTTGGGTACGCCCACATCCAGAGGCCGATAATTCTACCACGTAAAAAATCATCTAATGGGTCCTTTGTGTCATAACTATTCGGTTTTTGCAACTGAAATGCTTATAAAGTGCCTGAGAACAATTTTACTTCTTTGCCTAATTGTCTTATATATCTTTATCTCTTTATCTTTTACACTCTCGTCATTTTGAGTACATCGGTTATTTTCCTGAAATTGTATATGATTCTTGAAATGTGTGTAGTGATTTTAAGGTAATACTTATTTAGAGATCGATTTCCGCGTGACTCCGAATGATCCTTATTTATGGACTGAGTGTAAAATAACCAACTTCCCGTGCCTTCTCTCAAACAAACGTCCAGTTCCAAGAGAAACATTAAATTAAAACTGTACAGAATTATTGCCCTCATTTTCCCAAGTGGCAACAGTGCTGATTTTCAACAGTCAGCAGTCTAGTATACAATTAAATGAAAAACTGTTGCCAAAATCACATTTCTAAAGGAATGAAACTGTTTAAAATGATGCGATAAAATCGAAAAAATAAAATGAAAAAAAAAACCGATTCGAACTTTCAAAAAATCGCTTCGAGGTGCACTGGCTCTTGTCTAGATGCACCTATATACCAAATTTCGTAGCCCTGAGTCTATTAGCTTACGCGCAGCACTAACGAAAGACACGCACTTTCTTTTATTATATGTAGAGATGTATTTTGATACTAACTGGAAATAACATTAAAAGGGCAGCAATTCTGTTCAAGATATGAAAGTGAATCTAGTAAATAACAGTTTTGTCAATTAAAATCAATAATACCGTTAAACATAAACAAGTAAGAAAACAAGTATAGAAAGTAATTAAAAATATTTAAGTAAAGAAGTATAGAAAACTTTAGAGTTAAAAAATAAATGTTAAAAACTAGTTACAGTATTCACATAAAGTACATAATCTCTCCAATCACAATTGAAATAAAAATGCGTTGCTGATTTTGTAAAGCATACTGAAATATCAAATTTATATATATATATATACTATATCCTGTGACCACTTTTTTTCTCATTCTGAAGTGTTTTGCGTCAAAGATTATCAAGAATACTTTGCATTTTTTTATCATATAATATTTCTTTATAAAAAATTTAAGTTATTAAGACTAATTTATTACTATAATAACAGAAACGAATACTTCCTGCTGAAGTAATATTAGTATTGAAATGGTCGTTCTTTGCTGTATAAGAATACTGGCACATTCTTGTTTGATAAATAAATTCTCCAGTAGGAAAATAAAATTTTAGCTGATATTTCTAATTCTTTATCTTACTTTACAACACCTTCAAACTTTTGTTGTCGGAAGACTTCAGAATGTCTGCTATACAACATCTGATTACACTGCAGTTTTTTCGAAAAGAATTTTAATATTTCAGAATTTTACTTTCAAACTGCGTGCATATATCTAGCGAATTCATGACTTACATTGGAAGGATCATTTAAATTGGATCTTACAGCAAAAGGGGAAAAAAATTCCATATCGTTTAAAAAACATAAAACCTTTTTTTTCTTTAAAATTAAACTGGGTAAAATTCAAAGGATAGCGTTTCAATTAATCAGAAGGCTAATTATCTGGTTAATTACCTTTAAAATCTATTAGAATGTTTCTTCTTTTGCATCAATATTTTTTAAACCTTTATTATTATTATTTTTTGTTTAGTCCATCGCGCTTCCTCAATTAATTCCTAATGCGCCCTCGACTTCCGCAATTACTGAAAACGTTAATCTCATAAAGTTTCCCAGAAAAGTCAAAGAAACCCATCTCAAAATATTCAGAGTTCAGCCTAGCTAAATCTCATTAAAAATTAATGCATGCATTATTTAAGTCAGCAACGATTATTTTGTCATCAAGGTATAACGCAAGGTGTCAGAAGCGTCTTTTGGTTATTGCTTGAATAGTGGAAACATTTATGAAAATTAATGAGAAAGTATTATATAAAAATATTTAAAAATTTATAATGATTTCATTTACACAAAACTATTATAAATGATTAAAAGCATGGTATTTTTAAATATGCTAATAAACAATGAATTACTATAATTTGAAAAATTTTTTTAAAATTCGGAAACTGTAATCTGGAAATTCCAGATTATAGATTATTTAAAAACATTACAAAAATATTTTTAAATTTTGAGAAATTACAATAATGCACCTCTTTAAAGTTTAAGATTTTTGTATTTTTTAAAAATTTGTATTCAGATCTTCGGATGCAGATTCTAGCCAAATGCCTAAAATGTCTGGACAAGTCTCAAGAAAGTTTAACAAGCCTTTCTATTAAATCCGAACCGTAACATAAATACACGTCTAAGTGCCTGACAAATCAGCTAACCACTTGTCCCGATGTAATTTAAAATAACTGTCAATTTCAAGATTTAAAACTTAGTAGTCAACGCTTTATTTAACGCTAAACTGGCTCAAAAATTTCTCGCCGGTGAAGTTGGCAGGTATAATGCAAAGCCGAATAATACAATCTTATTTATAATAGCTAATCTAGTAACGTGGTCTCGAGAGGCTGAAACACAGTCCGTCTTACAGTCCAACAGCCTCACCTTAATAAACTTAAACTGATTTGCATTCTGTTGGGAAAACGGAAGAAAGAAGTGACAATAAATCTCTGAATCATAATAACTGCTTAAATTAACATACTGTAATGTTACAATCTAATAAAGTTACCTGACAAGATCTCCAAATGACCTAGCAAGTCACATTTTGTGAAGTCGCGTGGATTAACTATGCTGTGGTAGCGTAAAGTAATGTAATATAACATTAAAAAAGAAAAGTAACTCAAAACAACAAAATATTATTTCATATTACGATACTTTAAAATTCGCTTAATATTATTGCCTCCGTATACTGAAACTTTTAATTAATTCTAATTTAAAAATTTGATACAAGTATTGATAACAGAAGTTCATAATTTTCATAATTTATTTTGAAAATTATGAACTTCTGTTCATAATTTATTTTTTTAAGAAAAAAGCATTTTCTAAATTTAATTACAGATATTATAAAATCAAATTGATTTGATTACAGATGTTTTTTACAGTCATAAACAGTTATTTACATTTTATTAAAGACTTAACGATATTTAAAACACTTCCGAAACGGAACAATGAATCGACCAGATCCATCAACACACGTAGTAGTTATTGCTTTTCCATCCTTTGCAGACAAAATATTTTGGGAAAGGTATGCTTGTATATTCAGATTTATTTTCATGAGGCCATAGATATGCATAGTTTGAAAAACCTACTTCATCGATCGAAACAAGCGAAAT